AGAAACTGTTAGTATGGCCACACAACCCACAATAAATGAGCAGTCACTGTATTCTACCAATAAGCAAAATTGACAAACTCTTATCAGATCGAAATTGGAATGGGGAAATATATACAGCTGTATAAAAATGACTGCAAAAACATGCCTTTCTCCAAATTTATAGATAAAGCATCCAGATGCATGCTGGGATTTCTTCTGAGCCAATAAGATAGGCTACAACCAAGACTTAGTTCTGTTCTTTGTTGTCTTGAAATCGGAATGCTGCATTTGCTTGTCTGTATCTCTTTTCATGCATAAACACCATTCTTAATTTGTGAAAATTTTACCTTATTACTGTTGATTTGCATTACATATATTGTTTGCTCAATATTTTTTGGCCTGTTCTTTGTTAGTTTATTACAAACTTTGTCATTCTGTTTGTTCGGCATTTCTGCCAAATCCATTTAACCATGGCCAATTGCTCTTCAGTCTTGATATAAGAAACCATTTATAGTATCTTGAATCTTCTTTTCAACACTAACAAGAAACAAATATTTGAATTTGTATCCTAATGTGTATCCAAGTTTATAAATAGTGACAACTGACAGCTAAACTGCAGTGTCTATGTATCTTGTAAAAATAACTTTTCCAATAATGGCAAGGAAAAAATATCCGCTATAAAAAGCATTTAATTTATTTTGAAATTAAGTAGTTCTCTCAGAGGAAATTAAAGTTGGTTACTTTTTTTTTTTTTTTTTTCCTTTTCCCTATTAAATAAGAAATGATGTAAGAATCATTAATTTTAATTTTTCCTAATTATAAATATTGATTTAATACTTGTTTCTGGGTTAATTTTATTTCATTCCTGGAACAAGTTAGAATATCCGATTTACAGATTTTTAACTCTTTTAGAACTAGTTTAAAAAATAAAATTATAAAATTTTGAGTCTGCGTTAACCTTTTCAAAGGACTGATTATAAAACAATGTATTGTAAATAAGCAAGCATAACCTACAAAGGGATAATTGATAGTTGACTATTGAGATTGACAATAAACAACTATTCAAAATGGTATTAGTATTTTGGGTCAATTGTTGTATTTCAGTCATATCACCTATGAATCGATCAGTAATATTTTTCTTTTTCTCCTCAAAATGTGAATTAAATTTCAACATGTACTTTGAGGCTGTTCTAGCCATTTAAGTAATTGCCTAATTACATGTAGCAAGTAAGGACTGGATGAAACCATATTTATAAATGAATTCACAAAGCATTTCTTGATAAGAAATTGGACTTTATTGAACTGATCACTTACCATTAAGACTGGAGTAAATAGTTGTCATCAGTATTAATACTAAGTCAAGACTTGATGACATCGGGAAGGTTGTTGATGAGAATTAGGAACAAAGTAGATCCATGGTTAGCAGTGGGAGACACCCACATTAATGTAAAAAATCTAGAAGAGTGAACATTCAAAACCGTTTTGATTTCACAATTTCATTGATTTAAAACAAATATTTGTCCAGAAATACTATAACCTTTCAATTTGTGAAGACCAGCATTCCAAACCCTGTAAAATGCCTTAATCATCCAAAACAGCCAGAGTTTTACCAATCATACCTAAAAGCTTTCACTCTAACTCAATACCTGTTCATACATCAACAGATGACTTGGAGAAATGAGTTATATTGTCTGATAGAAGACCTACAAAGTGAAATGCTTAACCTATTTGGAGTTATTAGGGCCTTCTAATACTAATAGGCCAATAGTTTGAAATTTTTAAAAACTGGAACTACAGAAGAGGATTTCCAACAAGCAAGAACAGAAGCAGCAAGGCATTTATTATGTTTAGAGAAACTAGATGCTATTTCAGGAACATTTTTTAAGGGATGCCATCTTCACTGCCATATAAGAGATTAAATAATTGGCATTTCTTTGTTTTTATTGAAATTTTCCTATCACTTAATACTTTGCTTACTTTCTGGAAACAATGTTACAATCATCCAAAAGGAATTGGAATTGGGTATCATAAATTCTGTGCCAGTTTTCTGTATGTCTTACTTTTGTATATTTGTCTGTCTGTTTCCTCACAAACTCATTACCTTCTTCTCTTGCCTTCAATGTCTTGTGAGTGTCAAATTTTACTTTCCCTCTTTCCTCATTATGTCCATTAATTCATTAAAATGTCCTTGTTGCTCACCTGTTCTTCATGTGATTAACATGGACATTTTACATTCACATGTGAATGTAAAATCTGTGGCATTCTCAGACTGTCGAACCATATTTCTATTGCTTCAGGTCTCCTCTTCATCTATGATAAGATTGTCAGACATTTACTGCCATATAAAAGATTAGATACAACATCACATTTCAGCACTGTTTGCTTTAAATCCTATCTTAATGCTTTGTTTACTTTCTGAAAGGCATCTTAAACTATTCCAATGCATTTTGGATTTCTATGCTATGTCATTGTAAATGTCTAGAATTCTTTTTAATTAAAAGGTTCTCAGTCATATGAATATATTTTTTCTCATAGTTTGTTTTTTAACTAGAATTTTTTTGCAACATGCTGATGAAATCCTCATAGTATAATTAAATTGTTTTTAAAATAGCAGGGGTATTTTTTATGTTAAATAATAGTTTAAAAAAAAAAAAAAGATTAAAATGTATTGTACTAAGCTACATACTCCAGTAAAATCAGCTGTACTTTGCACCCCCCTTACCAGTTTGCACTTCTACCCAAAATTTGGTTTTGATTGGTCAATGTATGGTTATTTTAGTGCATGTGATGGACAGATACACTAACAAAAGTTGCAAAATTTTATTTATAGACAGATTTATGATGAATCATTGATTAAATAAGGAATAAATTATAAGGTCTCATTTTTAATGAAAGATATGCATGCTGATTTTTCTAAAGTTCTTGATGAGGTTGTTTATTTTATCTTTTTTTTCCAAAGCAGAATATATTAATCTAAAGTTTTGATATTTCTACAAAAATTAATTACCATCTTAATATTCTTATGAAATCAGAATGTTCCATTTATTATAGACTGTATCAGCACTTGTCAAAGATCCTGGTTTCATTTCAAAGAAAAATAAGGTTGCTTATGCAAGAATATTGGTAAGATGATAATTGATTTTTAAAGAATTGAACTCTTTAGTTAAAATCCAGTATCGCTCTCTACTATTAGAATATTTCAGAATCGTTATCAAGAAGTCGGAGGCTGACAGGATGTAAATAATTAATTGAAGCTTTGAATCTCTGTATATATTTAGATAAGGGCCCGTCTGTAAATAAGTTTTTAATGTTATTTTTATGCATAAGCATTTTATATTCAAATACAATTTCTACACCAGATGAAATTTAATCTTACTTATTATAAAACGCAGATTGTGTGTGTCTGTACGTTTATATATTGGATTGGATTTTCTACATTTTTCAACAGATTTCAACAAAATTGCACAGGACTATGTGGTTCTAAAGTGAAAATAAAATTGTTTTTGCAAAAATCAATTTGAAAAAAACGGATGATTACTGAGGTATTAATGTTAACTTCTGGTGACTCGGCGTTTTTTTTTTTTTTTTCAGAGGACACAAAAGTAAATCTAAACATACACAAGTCCTCCTAACTAAAAAAATAAAAACCATGGTGTTGGAATTTTTTTTACTGTTTCAATGTAAAAATCCGTTTATATAAATGGATTTCGGATTTTAATAAACCCAAATAAAGTTAATATTTTTTTTTAGAAACAAGTGGAAAATATTTCAACTAAAAATTACCACAAACAAAATATGCAATTCTTTTTACTTTTTTTCATAAATTTTTTTTTTTTTTTTTTTTTTGTGTGCGTGTCTGTGTTTTTTATTCGGTCTTTTCAACAGATTTCAACAAAATTTCACAGGACTTTTTAAAATTGGAAAAAGAATGTTTTGCACAAAATCAAAATTCGATTACAATTTATGAAAAGACAATTGTTTATATTATAAAAAATTCTATTCAACCGTTTATATATGGGATTAGATTTTTCAACAATTTCAACAAAAACTTTTTTTTTTTTTTGCAGTAGTGTTTCTTATTGTCTTGTACACTTTTCTTTATTTTTACATTCAGAATGCTTTAAAAATTCATTTACAAGACAATTATTTATAATAAAATTCTATCCAATGTTTGAGTTTGGGTTTGACCAATTCGTAAAAAAAAAAAAAAAAAAAACTAATTAAGACATGCTTGGCCGTCAACCTTAAACAATAATCTTTGTCAATTTTATTTTTCAGTCTTTATGATGGTCGATACTTGATCTATCTCTATCCCTGGGCAACGCCGGGCTCTACTGCTAGTCTATAATAAATTTGCCTATAACATTTGTAATATAGTTTTTCATAAAATTGTAAACTTATTTTAGATTGAACTAATAAAAGTGCTATGTCAACTGTTACTTTTGAATAAATTTCATAGCTGATAAAGTTGTAAAACTTTTCACTCAACATCTTAAAATTACTGACTTTTGATTTGAAAATTATTTCAAGTAATAACAGAAACAATATAGATTTTGCTTTCTTCTCGTAGTTAAAAAAAGATAAAGAAAAGTCCCTTGCATATGATGAAGAGAGAAAAGAGGGTTTCAAAACAAATTCTGATGTTTGGCCAGGTGAGGCATTCAAGTGCAGAACATTACTGCGCACGCACACACACACACACACCACTCTTGCTCTCTCATTGTTGCTCTGTCTCTTACAAGTCATTAAGGCTGAAATCTTTTGCAGCACATTTGAGTATGTAATGCTACTTTTTTTCTCTTTTATATATATATATATATACACACACACACTGATTTTCACCTTTCCTTCTTACAGGTCAGTCTGTAACATTGAACATGCCTTCATACAGTACTTTGAACTCAATGAATATGAGAATAACATGTGAATTTCAAACAAATGATCAATTTACGATGATGACATTGCACAATGGAAATAATAAGTTTGTGGCAACTTACTCACTCGAACGGCAAGCATTTGGAATGCCTCAAGATAGTTCTGTTCGTCTTGAGGTCGGATCTGGTACAACATTTAAAGGAGGTTCTTTGACATTTGTCTTTCCTCGAGTCAACTGTCCTGACTTTACATGGTACATTTGCCGTGCGAGTGGTTCTCAGGATGGTACTTCTATAGATTCTACAAACACCACATTACAAAGTAAGTATCATTATAAACATTTCTCTTAAAGAAATTTTAGCAATAAAATTTTGGCATGATAATATGGTGATAATGGAAATATTAAGATGAGAATGAAATATGGTGGAATGTAAACCAGCATTTGACAGTTTGAATATCAAAAGGTCCCTAAGACAAATGAAACTTTTGTAGACATTACAACTTAACAGTTGCATGTTGGTTAAAGAAAAATCCTGGGAGGAAGTGTAGTTCTATTGGCTCTACAATCATATTAATGAAACAATTTAAAATTGATTTCATTGCTTCCTTTTCAGTTTCCCCAGGATTTGATAGCCTCATGAAAACATCACCATCTGACCTTGTTGTCAATCAGATATCCTCCTTTCTGTGCAGAGGAACTGTCCGAAAAGAAGGCCCTTTTTCTTTGCAATGGTATCGAAGAACTATCACATCATCCAGCCAGCTTCAAGTTGACCCAGCAAAAGTAGTTGGCCAAAATGAATGTAGCCGTAGCATTTCAAGCTCAATTAATTACAATGTAAGTGAGACTGATGGGCCAAACCTTGTTCTCTGGTGCCGAATAGAAAGTGGGCAAAGAATTGATAAAATGGTGAACTTCACTGTTCAAGGTAAAGTATATTTTTGTATATGAAAAGCTGTTTTCAACTTTCATTTCAACATTTACATTTTAATCTAAATTCTACAAAGAAAAACTGAGCCTTTGATTTACTCTTTCCAAAACAATTTTATTTTTATTCTAAATTAGCCATTTCGTTAAAATTCTTTAAGATTCATAGCCTATTAAAAATAAGTTTAGCTAATTGATTTGACCTTGTATAGTAATTTAATCTTTGTCTTTTATATTGATATTTCTTTTTTTTTTTTTTTTTTTTTTTTTTTTTTATAAATCTTCTGGCCTTTTTTTTCCTTTGTGTTTAGCAAATAAGTCTAATATTTTAGATTTGTGACTGGCTAATTTCTGGCAGAAGATAAAGAAATTAAGCTACAGAATTATTTGTATGTAAAAATACTTTCAAAATTATGAAATCATAGTTGTATTTGTTCAGCTTATATGGCTGATGATTGTCCTCAAGTGATGTGATTTCTGTTATTTAGTAAAGTTCTTTGTGATTCTGCAGCACTCTTCCACAAGGTTCAAAGAAAAATAGTCTTTACAAAGACCAAACTTCATTTGCTCAAAACCATTTTAAACCATTGATCTTAAAAAAAATGTATACAGCTGATAATTAAGATATTTCTGAATGGGTTTGGTGCCATACATGATAGATGAAGGTCTTGATCTGATGAGGCTTGTTACAAACATGATTCTAGTTTTTAGGTTAATATTTTAGTTTTGCTGAAATTTGAAGTGTTTGGTGAAAATACCTGAAGTGCAGCCTATTTTGTGCTCAATTTCCTTTTTTTCTATACTAAATTTGTCTTAAGTGTTCCATATGCTGAGGTATATAACGTCTTTTGCATTTACAAATTCCAAGTTTTGAATTTTTATGATTAATTCAGAATATGTGACATTGTTTTCATGTCAATTCCAGATCGGTTTCTGTTTTGGAAAGATTTTATCTCTAGTCCAATGTCTTGGAATATTTGGTTGGAGATGTTGTCATCAGCATAGCCTATACCCTCCCCACATCATCAGTATATTGACCTCCGGAGGGGAAGCAGGACCATTGTGTTCTCTTGGTACATTAGTACAGGATGTAGTATAGAAAGATTAAATGATCAGTGCCCATCTCTTCATGTCTATGTTTGTAAATGCACATGGCATAGTCTAGGAAAAGATTAAAACATCATCATCTGACCTTGTTGTCAATCAAATATCCTCTTTTGTATACAGAGGAACTGTCCAAAAAGAAGGCCCTTTTTCTGTATCAAATGGAATCAAATAACTCAACTTCCAGCCAGCTTCAAGTTGATTCAGCCTGAGTAGTTGGCCAAAATGAATTTAGCTGTAGCATTTCAAGCTTACTTAATTAGGGGCTCTCATTTTCTCCTTGTGTTACTTCTTCTGAGGTTTGAAATGTTCATGTATTGTGGTCCTCACCAGACATGTAAGATTCTGTAGATCAATACAGTTTCTTTTTATATTGATGTAATCAGTGGATATCTAGCTTGGAAGCTGGTTCCTAGTCAATAAGAGGAAGTCTCTATTGACATCAACATTGCAGGTATACAATTTCTTGGAATTGTTAGATGACATATATGCCATCATTGCATCTCTTACCAGAACAGAAACCAAACCAGGTCACAAGGAATTTACTTTCATAAAACAATGAGAACCTAAGTAATGTTCATTAATACTTTCACCATGTTAGATCCAATTGAGATACCTCTGCATATGTGAGGGTCACCTTTCCATTTTTATAATGTATAAATGCATGATAAACCTACTGAATTCAGAGAGAAAGTAAGCTATTTTCAAAAGTTCAGCATCAATGTTAAGTGATGGTTTATTATTCTTTAGATTTTAATAGTATTCTTAATTTCCTCTTCGGTATGTTCGCTATGGCTTATGCTTGGAAACTGACTTTGTAGTGATTGGTTGTATCTTGGTATATGTACTATTTCTGTGGGCATCTTAAGTTTACTGTGGTCAGAATTGACATGTGATTCAGTGTTTGTATAATATTATAAATTTTTCTTTTTTTTTTTTTTTTTTCCATATTGTTTCTGCTGCTTGTCTTCATTTAACTTATTTCCAATTTTCCAGATGTATTGGTTTTTCAAAGAATTATTTTTTTTAATTTTCTTTGTTTCATATTTTCCTTTCCATATAAGACACTGATGAGGATTGAACTTGCAAAGCAAGTTAAGGTCAGCTAACCTGGTTTCCTCCCCTTTAACACTAATCAAAGGTCATGTCATAGCCTATGGACAGTGGAGGAACAGATGAATATATTTCTAGTTTTGGAAATATATTGAAAAGAACAAGATTTCTGCAAGCAAGAAGTGCGAAAGAAACTGTTAGCATTGAATTTACAGTTACATCTTGCCATTTTCAACTATAAAATGATGAGACCGTGTCACCAATCTAGTACTACACTTAGTCATAAAGTCTAGGTAACAGAGGAAAGTTCATCAGAACAATTTCCATAAAACTATTCATAGAAAAGGCACAGGGAAGCTACATTATGGTGGTTGTTAAGTGACTGAAGCAGAAATATCAGGTCAGGACCCTCAACATTGCAGATTCTTTTTTGTATTTTATGAAGCATCTTTAAATATATAGCAGAAGCACCAGACCAGATGTGGCAGCAATATTCAATGCATTGACAATATGCCAGAATACAGATTGGTTCTTGTTTTAATACATCTTTATAATGTGCAAATAATAAAAGAAAATAATGAAAACAATGTTCAAGAATTCTGACCTTGCAGTGTTTTGTAATTTGTCACATGTACATAATACAAGTAAATAACAGAAAGGCATCATGGTGAAATAATAAAATGCAATTAAAATACATTAATAAGAAAGAAGTAAAAGTTGGCAAAAAGATTATTGATACTTATCAGTTAATTCACGACTCTGTAGAGCTGCTAAGAAAAGTACTAATTTGTCTTGAAACATGTGACCCTTGACTTTAATGTCCGGGTTAACACAACAGTCACACATAATTGTAACCACCCAATCAGTAGCATGATATCTCTATAGTAAATGGTGGTTTACATCTTCATTGTCTAGATATTCATTCAAACTCTGTTGTCAGCAGTGACACTTTCTATTCATATACGACACTATCTATTCATATTAATGTTAGAAATATAAACCTGTATTGTATTAAATTCAATCTACTAAAATGAAATCTAATATTGTTAATGGATTTAATAGCTATTTTATAGGTGATTTTTGAGTTAAATTTTTGTCTGTTTTTTTTTTTTTTTTTTTTTTTTTTTTTTAAATATTTGGCCAGACTTGTGAGCTTACATGAAATTGATACTGATGTCTTGATGCTCACCATAAAACAGGGTATTAATTATAAACATAAAATTCTTCAGTTAGACCATTAATGCCTGTCAGTGTCCAAATTAGGACAGTGTCCATTGAGGGATAAATCTCTTATAAAAATATAACGGGTCTATTTGTGCAAATGTTACATCTGAGGAGATAAGACAAAACTTGAAAAGCTGAATAAAGTCTGTCATTATGGCAACATTGGAAAATTTCAAATGTATTGACATCATCAATCAGGAACCTTTTCATGAGTCTTCATTTTGATGCCAATATTTTGGTTCTGCCTGAATGTGACTTCTGAACTTTTATAATATACTTTTATATAATTTAAAAAAAAAAAAAAAATAGCTAAGTGTATGAAAAGGAAACAGGTTAATTGATTAGTTTCATTTTATGTAAATCTGTGGTATTATTAGGAATAAAGGAAAAACAGAAATAATACTTGTTTAAAGGGCCTTTTTGTTTTAATAAGCAAATTGAGTTTTTAATTGAGAATTAAAATCTGTCCTACCTGATTGCTTCTGGGTATTTTATCTACTCAAATTTCTGAAGATCTTTTTTAATTTAAAAAAAAAAAACCAGGATAAACTACAAATATACACTTAAAGAACAGTAGCTGTAACTAGAATAAGAACAAAGATGAGGATATTAGTCACCACACTAATTAACAGGACAACAATTCTTCAGAAAAGAATTTCAAAATTCTTTTAAAAACCAAAAAAACTTTGTACTTTATTCTTGAAAATTATAAGTCTGTTTGATATTCAGAAATGTTTTAATTTTTGAAGATGGTTTATTCATGTACTCTACAACAAATATATAAATCATATACTGTTGTTGTTTTTTTTTTTTTTTAACATTTATCTCTCTTTTTCTCCCTTCTCTTTTGTCTAAGTGGTTATAATAGCAACCTTGCTGTGTCTCTATAATTACTGAATAAACATTTAGTATTGTAAGTCCTACCTATGCTTCTACACATTATGTTGCTACTTTTAGATGGGAAGCAAAATCATAAATTCTCAAAGTGAAAATTTATCAAAGCAGTTAATTTTTTTTTTTTTTTTAATTCGGCCAAAAAATGGCATTTTCTTTTAGTTTTTTTCTTTTACTTTGTTACTCTACCTGAACCAATGTGGTAAGATGTCAATCCCTTCCCCAGTTAGTTTAAAAATTACTCACTACCCAGGTTGGTATATCTGCATGTTTTTTTTGTTTATTTTTGGTGTAATTTTATTTGTAGTTTTGTCATTGTAAATGTTCTTGGAATGTGCAACAGTCATAATTTTCGCATGATTCACCTGCATGCTTCCTTTCCAGAAATTTCCACAATTGCAGCTCCTTTTACCCCACAACCTGTTAAAGGTAAGTTCTGATTCTACCTTGAAAACTTTTTTTTTTTTTCCTGCTTGTTTCATATTCAAGATTTGTATGGAGACAAGAATGCAATTGATAATGTCTTCATTAACTCAAAATCACATTTACATCATAGATTATTTGATCAATCCAAATCAGTTTGTTCAATTAATTTCTATCATGCATGTTCATCTTAGTTTTATTCTTTAACATATCTTAAAAGTAAGTTTGAAAGTAACAAGTAGTTGTTTAAACACATGCCCTTGCCTTTGTAACAAATGGAGGAGATTGTTTTACTATGTACACCTATATAGGAGGAGGAGGAATAGTCTTCTAGATCTTTAATAGGCCAGCAAATCAGTCCTTTTGGAGTACTGGTCTTTAAAGTGGCATCCACTTGAGTCAAAGGATAATTGGGGATGTGATGCGGGATCTTTCTGCAAATCAAATGGTAACAAGAACAGAAATAGGTTATGTTCAGATGCTGGTCTATATTAACAGTTATGCTTCGGGTCAATGAGAGGGCTAGTCAGCCCTTGGTGGGATACAGACATGTCCATTATCTGTCTATATTTCTGAGACGAGGTATTATTTACACTATTCGGACTATTGTCCTCATCTTTGTCGCCATATTTATTACAATGTTTCAGCCGTTGTACGCTCCGGCCTTCTTCAGGTGGTTGGAATGTCGAACTGAACCCTTTATTTCACTTACCGGGGTAAACTGTTCTAGTTCCACATGCCATGTTTAATGGATGTCAATTATCAGTGCCATGTCTAATGGATGTCAGCTATCAGTTATCTCCTGTTAATTCCCCTCTCCAAGTTCTCCACTGCCTTAACCAGGTATTGAACTCAGTCTTTGGGTCCTGCCACTGGCTCTAACCAACGCCTTTATTCACAGGAGAAGAAGTGTACAACGGCCAAAATGTTGTAATAAATATGCCGACAAAGATGAGGATAGTAGTCCAAATAATGTAAATAGTAGACCTATCTATGTTGTAGATTTTAAGCTTCTATTTCTGTATTGCCAGCCACCATGTTGAGATGAATAGATGGGTGAGGAGTTGGCAAGAGTAAGAGCTAATATAGCAGAGTCTGTTCCAAGTATCACCTGCCTACCCACCTAGATGATCAGGCAAAACCCAGAATAAAACCCCTATATATAAGTTACAGTGTTTGCATTCTTATTTCTTGGCATAGCTTTTCTTTAACGTATTACCTTATGAATGTACAGTTTGTACTTTTCCCAGCTTTCACTCAACATCGATGAGATTGAGAATTGAAATGCAACGTGGGGTTGCTCATTGGCAGGTCATTGGAATACTTGGGTGAGAAGCCTGTTGTATGTTTAGAGAGATATCCAATAAGAAATAGCAGTCTTTCAAATTCCAAAAACTTAATAGTAGTAGTTTGAGGCTCAAATATGAGTGAGATACTTTTTCAAAAATTAGACAAGTAATATTAAAATAAAATAAAAATTGGTAAACATGGACAAAGGTATCTGCAATAATGTGGAATCTCAAAAGGATTTTTTTTTTTTTTTCCCATGACACTGCTTTTTTAACTACCTTCATTCTTTTGTGAAATTGATTGTTTAAAAAAAAAAAGCAATGATTAGAATTGGAATAAACCTAAACACATGAAAGTGAATTTATACATTTTCCTTGTTCTCAAGAATTTACAACAAAAATAATAAATGCTATTTATTTATTAGATTGTTTATTTACACTATTATATTGTTTATTGGAATGGTTGGCAAAATATCAGCTAATTGCCAATTTAATTCAAACTTTATAGAATGGTAAATAATTTTGATTTCCTTTCATAGTTGGTTCATATATTTTAATAATTTAGTAAATGCATATAAAGTTATGAATAAAAATTTGTTTTTCTACTAATTCCTTTATATATTGGTAAGTGGTAAATATTGCATTAGTTTTTAGAATGTTGTAAATATAAAACTATTATTGTAAATAAACAATCTAATATTTTTGTAAATTCTCAAGAACAAAAAAATAATGTATAAATTCATTTTCATCAGGTTTGTTCAATTTTAAAACAAACATTGCCAAAGAGTGAAAATATTTAAAAACGGTGGTGTCATGGGACAAACCATCCTTTTGACAATACATTTTATTGCAGGCACATTTGTCTAGGTTTGCCTAAATTTTGTTTCCTCTGTTTTCCCCTCTATCAATAGGTATAGTTTCTGTAAAGACTGACACATGACTGGGCCACTATAAAGTTAATTAAAATATGTATAAGACTGGACAGGATGTGTTGATGTCTAAGATGATATAATATGTAACTGATATACAATCTTCATTAACTATATTGCTTCTCATCATAAAATTTTAATAAACTGGGGAGGGGGTTCTTAATTTTCAGAATCTTAATAAGTATACACCCTTTTTATTCAGGAGGATATGAACTGAAAAATATCAACACCAAAATAGCTTTCTGTAGTCTAATATTTTGATTTTTAGTTTCTATTGTGACTTTCTATTGTCAGTATTTTGTATTTTATTTTGTATTTTATTATTTATTTATTTATTTTTATTTTTTTTTTTTTTTGAAATGATGATTTTATTAGATTTTAGCAATGATTTTTACATTTGTTCATGCCAACCTGATATCCTCAGACCACTTGGGGGGAGGTATTAATGAATAGAAAGGAACTGCAAGTTTGGTAGGTTATACTGCTAATGCTGCACAGACCCCCAAAAGTTAATTTATTAAAAATTTTATTAAAAACAAAAACAGAATGATTTTTTTTTTTTTTTTTTTTTCATTTTACCCCCAAGCAAGGTAATAAAGCCACTACAATGCAAGTGGTTAATGTGTGAGGGAATGAAAGAAAAAACACATTTAAGGAGAGAAAACGAAAGGATAATGATTGACATTGCTTTCAAATTTTTGAAGATCAATGTTGATAGGGAAGCAGGAAGCTGAAAGAGTTCCAGAAGAGAGAAGTGAACGAAAAACAAAACCACAACAAAACTGTTAGCATAGAACTTATGGTTACATCTAACCATTTCAACTGTAAAATGATGACATTGCCACCAGTTTAGTACTGGGCTTAAATTTATAAAGTCTAGGTACCATAGAGTAAGGGTCAGCAACCTTTTGATAACTATGTACTGACTTAAGGTTTTAAAATCATTCAGTGTGCCAACAACATACATATTTTTATGCAAGTGAAGATCAATATACCTGTTCTACAGTGTGTGTATATATATATATATATATATATATATATATATATAAATTGAAACCACTAAATATCTTGTTTGCATTGTAGTAGTTATTGGTTCAGACATCGTAATGTCATTGTTGGCTTTGTACCATTGGAAATTGCTTGATGGGGCACATGTGCTGTAGGTTGCCAACCCTTGCTTTAAAGGAATGCTCATCAGAACAATTACCATGAAAGTATTTATAGAAAAGGCACTGCGAACTTACCCTATGGTGGTGAGAAAGGACTGAATCCTTGATGTCACGTCAGGACCAATAACATTGCAAATTCTTTGGATTTTATTAAGAATCTTTAAATTGCAAAAGTGCTAGATCAGGTGTGGCAGTGATATTCAAAGCCTGGATGAATGGTAGACTTATAAATATTTAAGATCTTGGATTATATGCAAACTGGTCTTCACAATGAAAATGCTATTAACCAACTGATGTTGGTAAAATTTTCAGAATATATTTGAGTAATACATAAGGTGAAATTCATTTTTTAATATCCCTCCATGTTTGAAATATTGATAACTTGTTTAGGATTATGCAAAAAAACATGCTAAAGGCAACATATTTTTTAATTAATAAATGAATCCGAAGGCCACAGAATATAGTAATATATTTCATTAACATATTTCATTATCTTAGAACTCCCACAAAGTTAAGTGGGGCCCCTAATTAATTTTATGTGGGCTTGGCATTTTGACAACCAGTAAAATCTCTAACATTTAATCTATAGCATATCTATAAAGTGGAGTGTTTCCTAAAACCACTATCTCAATTTTTAGTTTGTGTTTATACGAAAGGCTTCAATCACAAAATTCATGAATGGAAGTATCTCAACTTGAAATCATCAAGGTGACCTATCCCACTCCTCTCTGTCACTATCCGGTTTGTTTGTTCATTATATTCTGTAGATCAGGGATTTTCCTTGAAACTTTGATAAAAGTGCAAGTCAGATTGTTTACTAAAATCAGTTAATTGATGTAAAACCTAAAGACGCATTTAGAAACAATTCTTAATTGAGGGGAAAAATGATGAACAAACCAAATGTTCTCAGCTAGATGTGGAGACAACAAAACCAATGATCTATTTGGATTCTGTGCCACCAGACTTCCTATAGAAGCATTCTAATATTGGCAATAAAATTAATGCTGACCATTGTTATTAAACAAAACTTTGAATTTTTATTTATGGATGGAGCTGATATTATAGTATTAAGACATTCATATTGCATATAATTTTTTTTGTATTAAGGAGCATTTGAAGTTTTTTTTTTTTTTTAACCACTCATTTACTCAGATAATTTTGAAATTTTTATTAATTTTGATTATAATTTTTTTTATTTTTTTAATCACTTTTCATGCAGAATTTCAGATACATTAATTCTTTTTTTTTCTAAGTGAGCTTTGGTTACTGATAATAATTTTTGTATCAAATTTGTTTTATTTGAAAATTTTTCTTTTAATTCATCTTCAAATTTAAACCTTTTCTGTGTGTGGAGGAAGGAGTGAAATTTAAAAAAAAAAAAAAAACGTTTAAAGAATTATCTCCTATAGCATTAAAAGATTTTTTTTATTTACTTACTGACTTCCTAAGCTGGGTTTTTTTTTTTTTTTTTTTTTAAATTTTATTTAATTTTAATCATTTAATTTTTATAATCTCATAAGTTGTGTATTGAGTTCTTTGTTTCTGTTTTTCTGTTACAAAGAAATTTTCTGTCCTGACATCAATTTGGTTCATTTTAAGATTAAAAATTATTATTAATATCTAATTAAAAGTACTTACAACAGTTAATTATAAATGACTTTTAATTACTGTCACTGTTTTTATCATTTGGGGGTTTTATTAGCTTTTATTTATTTTATTTCTTCCAGCTGGTCTTGAGCCTGGCAGCATTGTTGGCATAGTCCTTGGAGTCATTGCTATAATAGTGTTGGTCGTGCTTCTTGTTTGGTTCTTAGTAGTCAGACCCAAGCGACTCAAAGCAGGTCAGTTATTGTTTAAAGAATTTTAAATCTATTGCTTTTTCACTGAAAGAGTTGAATGCTAGCAGAATGAAAGTGTTGGACTTTAGTGTCTCAGTTAAAATAAATAAATATATATATATATATATACATATAGAGGTAGCTGATATCTCTATTATTGTAATGATCTAATCTAAGAACATGAAATTGAATTTTCTATACATTCAAGAAAGGATAAAAATCAACTGTTTATTCACTCCTAGACTCCATTAAATTAACATTAGCTGAATCAAAGGTATGTAATTTTGGGTCTTTCTTCCTATTTTTCAATCTTGTAATGGATTCTTCTCTCATAGATTGAGCAATTAGATAGCTACCTGTAACTTGGTTGCCTTATATATATATATATATATATATATATATAATCCCATGTTCCACTGGGCTCACTAATTTCTACGTTGGTATATGGAGGTCACTTGTGGAAAGGAATCTAACAAATCAGTGATGCAATGTTCTGCAAAAAAAAAAATGCTTTTATCTAAGATTAAAAATGGCCCCTTTCTGATTTCTGCCTTTTTTTTTCTCAACGGTAAAATTGACAGAGAAATGCCATGGATATGACCAAGCAAAATAAAATGAAGGTGCTATTGTCAATCCCAAGAGAGGACTTTTCAAACAAAAAAAAAAAAAAAAAAAAAAATTTGAAAAGTAAAAGGAATATTTGATTAATTGGGCCACAATAGATGACTAGCACTGACCTAGATAATCTTTTCATAATAAATAGCTGGATTCTTTCCGGACAGTTATAACTATTACAAGTGAAATATATAGATATTAATGCAACATGTTACCATTTTAGTTATCAATCAAATCTATTAATATGGTATTTTTTTTTTCCAGGAGTTGACAAACCCAGTATCAAGGCTCTTCCTGTCTTTTCCTTTTTTTTTTATCTATTTTTACTTTTTATTTATTTATTTATTTTTTGTTAATAGTAGGTTGGGATAGCAAGCTTTTAAATGAACAGTAGAAACCAAAATCATTATCCCAACAAGTTCATCTTTTCATTGTTCATTTAAAGTCCTATCCCAGACCGGATATTTTGGAGCTGTGAAAGACAGGAGAGGTTTTAAGACAACTTTAAACTTTGCTTGGTCATTCTTTTACCATTCTATCTTATTTTAAATTTGCACGGGGTCTGGAACTGATGTTTGATGACATCACCACTTCCATAATTTTTCATAATACATAATTTGTCAGTTTAAATTTTATATAAAGGTTGTCATACGCAGAGGTCTATAAAATGCTTCTATGGTATCTCTCTCAAATAGTGTCTGGCAACTACTCCAACTCCAAGCTGGAGAATGGGTGAAGGTAGAAAACTGGTTGCTTCAGTTAGATGGAGCTCAGCAGCCTAGGAAGGCAGTCCATCTAGGAGAAGGAAAACCCTGATTCTTAAATTGCCACTACCTTGCAGTCGTATCCTAACATGGAAATAAATCCAAACAGAAAACCTTGGTTGGCTGTCAAAATTAACGGCTTTCTGACAACTCTTACAGCCAAGCCATCCCCAAATGTAATGCCTTGTAATCTTTTGATTCTTGTCTGTATAGCTGGGGGGTATGGTGGAGTAATGGATAGCAACTCTGATTAAGGAATCGGAGGGCAGAGTTCAAATTCCAGTCAAATCCATTACATTCACTTACATGCTAATACCCTTGGGAAAGGTATGAATGCTCTTCTCTCCCACCAGCTATGGGTAAATAGCAGAACAGACTGGGTTCTATAGTCTTGGATGGCAACTGGTCTACTGCAGAAAGAAATGGCAACCCACTGTGGGAAAAAATCTGCCTCGTCAGTCATGTTTTGAAAGATACATGATTGCCTAAGTGTGTATCACGCATGGCACATAACTAACTGTATAGCTGAGAGTGGGTGGGGGTATGTAGTCTGAGCAGCACATGGCTTCCATATACCATCACCAGTTTAGAAGGAAGGCTGAATTCAAACCATTTGCTACCTTATAGGTTTTACCTCTTTAAATTCTGATAGGAGGAATGGGGTAACCACATAACCCCCACCCCCAGTACATATAGTTGTGCTATTCTGCCTTGAATGTCACCATGGACCTTTACTGGAAGATGGTGAGGTGTGGTGATCACATTAGTGCAAAATGTGCTTACTGAATAAATGAAATTTTATATTTATCTGTATTTCTTAATGACTTCTTAAAATTTAATTTCTAATAGAATAGTTTGTGAATAAAGTAATTGAATGGAAGACTAAAGTAAGACTTTTTTTTTTTTTTTTTTTAAATTACAAAAACCCTTATGTCAGCAAAAATATGCTGACATCCACAATTATGAAACCAGGAATACTCACAATATTCAAAATTATCTTTTAGAATATCTCAACAAAATAATTTTTCACAAGTCTATTTTTTGCAACATATTTAGAGTTTCAAATCAAATTCCTCGAACACAAAAGGAACAATATCAATTGTAAGTAATGCACAGGAAATAAAAAAAAAAAAAAATAATGGAAAATTCTCAGTCTCTTTCTAGTATTAAACGAATTGATAGTAACCCAGCTAACATGGAACTATTTTGAATAGATGTGTAACCTTACCGTAACTTTGCCATCAGCTATTTTTCTGACACAAAACTGACTGCTTGTCCTCAACATTGTCACAAAGTTATGCCAACATTGCAAAGTTCTGTAGCAGAAAAATTCTACACTAGTCAAATATCAATACTTTTTCTTCATTTAACAATATGTACAGAAGGTAAAAAATTTCTTTTCATATTGTTTGAGAATCCCTAATTTAGATGAGTCTGCATTGTAGTATTTTCCCAGAATTTATTTTCCATTTACTGCAGAGAACCTGGCCACTCTACAAGGCAATGGATTTGCAATGTAATGGGTTCATTTTGGGAAGTCTATAATAAAGTTTTGCAAGCTACATGTAATGTTGAAGAAATGTAGCAATGTCATTTTGTTAAACTAGAAATGCAGTCCTAATAAAAGTTAATTTGTCAGCTGAATCTGAAATGTCCAAATATTTCTTAATGTTCAAATAGTATTCTTTCATTTTGTTAGCTTGCAGTTTGTAATGTCTGCTTCCTTGAGTTTTCTTTATCAGTTTTAAAGAATAATTTCATGCACTGTTTATTTTAAGATTCTATTATTGCAGCAGGATCTTCCAAGGATAAGGGCCCAGAACCTAATGCGTAAGTTGATAATTTTCTTTTTTTTTTTTTTTTCCTTTTCTTATTCAAGTTTTTTTTTGTTTACACATTCTATTTTGGTGAATGGTTGTTATTGACAGTGTTCTATTTTATAATTTTAGATTTAAAAACTATTAAGTAAACAAATAGAAGATTTAAAGATTTTACATAATCTGTAGAAGTTTTATTTTTCTGAATTTATTAGATTATTCATTAGACCAGACAGAAGGCTTGATATATATCTAAGTACATCTGAGAACCATGCAATTAATTTAAGATGTTCTATTTCAAAACAAGAAAAACAATGGTCAATTGGTACCAAATGTAATTCAATGAATAAATAACCAACAATATCTTTTATTTTTTTTTTTTTTTTTTTTGTGTCAAATGATACTTAGTGTTACCTGAAAGTTTTACCTAATATAAGCTTTAAGACAAGTAGCTAATTTCAAATTTGTTTCAACAGAGTATATTTGGCATGGAAACAGCCTGTAAGCTGAACTTCAAGAAAATCAGTTAGCATTTTGAGATTCCTATTGTTTGTATCAACTGATATCTAATGGATTTAACACTTAGTCTATTATGCCTGTGAACAGAAGTATTGCAGTTCATTGGGAGTGGAAATTAGGTTTTCATTTAACACAATTAGTATTCAGCAATTCTAATAAGCAGTCCAGCAATTCTAACAAAACTTGCACCTGTGTTCTTTTATATAAGTTCTTGCAAGAAATGAAATATTAAAGTATTTTGAAAGGTAAAAAAAAAAAAAGACAGGTAGTTGTCACAGATGCCACAGGAAGTAAATACCTTTTTAAAAATAAGAGTAGAGTAACCTTTTAACTCTTATCGGATTCTACGCTATTTGTTAGCATTGGAACTGAGAAGAGTTAATGTTATCTTTTTTTTTTTTTTTTTTTTTTTTTTTTGTACTTACAAAGGCATTTTCTTTCTGTGGCATCTGTGACAATCAACTGCCTTTTTCTGTCTCAACCTTGTCATGAAAGAAACAGCTATCCATTTTCTTCAGGATTACTTATATAAATGAATTACCGTAAATTGTGGTGTACAAGTCAACCTCAAGATTTTTAGCATGAAATTCTGAGTTCAGCCCGTTCCTTCTTTATAGGCTGATGCCCCCACCTCCAAATAAAATATACAGTAGGCTACCAGTGGCCCCAAACTTACGACTGGTAAATGAAGTTCAGCTACAGTATATGATAACCTGTTAAAACTATATAAGGTCATACCACTTACCTGTATATTAAGACACTAACCATAATATCTTTCTATATGTGTTGTATAGTAAACTGCCTACAACACGCACTGGTAGGTATAGTATATTCTATCGGAATAAATTAGCAAACATTTAAAATTTGTCAGGTTGACTGATAAACACGTTAAACTCCTATAAAATATTAATACCATAAATTACACATCATACCAGGTAGTTTTTTTTTTTTTAATATTACTGCTATATATCTTGTGTAACATGGTATACAATAATTGTTAAGAGTGTCTCGGTTATATACAACTTGGTGGCAAAGGTTTACATTTTATACCTGTCATATGTCAGCTCCTAGTTTTGGATTTTTAGGTTTTAAAATTCTACACCATGAATTATGGTAAATTTATAATGGCACAAAACTGTTGCATTTGCCTGTAAATACAGATTATATCTATAAATATGTAAATACAAAAAATTATCTGAATTTCTGTGATGAGTTATTATTTACACTAGTCTCAGGTGTACATCAATCTGGGTAACTTGCAGGGAATTCTTAACTGAACCATTTAATCTATGAGGGTAGACTGTTCTTCCACTGCTCATGTCTAGGGATATCATATAGTTCTTATTTTTATTTAGTAATGTTCTTAAAAAAAATTTTTTTTTTTTTTTTATTTTTATATTTTTTTTTTTTTTTTTTTTTTTTTGTGCCAAATTTTAATTTTGATGTCCTTCTCCCTCCCACCTGTGCTTCCCCCTCCCCAACCTTCTAAATTCCTCTGGACTTAAGATCTTTTTGTATTTTGTCATAATAATAGCTGGCTGCTCATATTCAAATATGCCTGCTAGGGTGGCTAGCTAATCCCTATTGCAGATGCATGCTCAGGCACATTCACATTTTTCCCACACCCACAGAACCCACCTACAAAATGTTAACATTTATGCTTTGAATTCCGATTCATTTATTAAAAATCAATTGAAATACATAAAATTACTTCTCTCTACCATCATAATTAAATTCATTTTCTTATTTCTCAATCAATTTTTTTTCTCTTTACAGCAAGGACTACCAGGTACAAGATAATGTTCTTTATGCAACAGTTGATCCGTTAAAAAAAGTAAGTGGGTTTTTCACCTGATTGGAAGACTTCCAGCCAATAACCCCCTTCTCCACAAGTCCTTTTTTTAGTGGGCGGGGGGTGGTGGTGACAAATGGTAAAACTTGCTTCAATCAGTATACATTTTTTTTTTTTTTTTTTTCCCAATTTCTTGTTTCCATTTCCCAACAAGCACTGGAAGCTTTGAAATATGCTGCTAACAAAAATAGCATTGTGTGTATTTGAATGTTTAAGAGAAGCATAGATGAAGAGAGGATCTCCTAAGATGGTTTCCTCAGAAAAATAATAATCAGACATTATAATAACCTTGCAAACTCTTATTTTATAGTGAGATAAATATTAATTCTAAGCACTTTGAAGAAAATCTTAACGTGTAAGCTATTATCAAGCTGATCTTTACTTTCAAATATTTCTTTGATTCAATTTAATGCATTGTATCCAACAGCTCACATAGTATCTATCTGTATTCCTGTGACAATGTAATATAATTTTTTTTTTTTTTTTTTTTTTTTTTGGTCCTTATTTTCCTGGATATCAGAACATCTTGAACACCCATTTTTAATGCATTCAATACCAAAAGATGCAAATTGGGGTTAATTAATGTCTCCTTTTTTATCCTTTCATTTGATCCTTTACACACTACTGTGACCAATGCCAACTATTTATCCTATTATTTATCTTTGGGGATTTCTCTTTGACCCATACACACACACACACATATATATATATATATATATATATATATATATATATATATATATACACACACACACACATACAACATTGGTACTGAAGGTATTAAGTATAGGTGTATAAATCTGGATATGTCACTTTTTTTTCCACAATTCACTAACAGAAATAATGCCACTAAGATGCAAAGGGCTACTGGAAAAGAAGCGAAAAAGACTTTAAGAGGAACCAGAAACCAAATCCTAAACAGAAAACAAAGGATAAACCTCTGTTTAGTATTGGGTTTCCAGTTCCTTCTAAAAATCTTTTCCTTCACTTCCAGTAGCCCTTTATGTCTTAGTGTCATTATTACCTTGCTTGAGGTGAATTGGCGAAAAAATAAAAAAGATATCTCAGGATTTATACACCTTCACCTAACACTTTCAGCATCAATTTTTTCAAAAAATGTAAAAATAATTTACTTTCTAGTGTTAGATATTATCATAGTCATCAGGATTTATGTAGTTAATGGTTTAATTTTCCAAAATCTCATAATAAAATCTTCATTTTAAGAAAAAATGGTTTGATGCTTAAGTTTGGTAGCTATCTAAATTGTTATTGTTTTATTGCAAAATAGAAAAATTCTGTGTAACAAATTGCACCTTCTAAGTCCTTTTAAACAGAAATATGTCACATAAAATTTTCTTATTTTGTCATTTGATTACCTGGGACTATTTCGGTATATAGTAATTTAAGCAATGTTTAAATTTCATGTCCACAAAAAAAAAAATGGTGTTAAAAGTAAAAAGATGATTATTCTCTTGACACTGCTGTTACTATATAAAGTTTTGACTCCCTTGTCAGTGTTTTTTAAAAAAATGATTAGAATTTTAATAACCCCAAAACAAGTGAAAATGAATTTATACATTTTCTTTTAATGTTGAGAATTGAAGACAGATTAAATACTATTTATTATTTGTTTTGTAGCCCTTTTTTTGTTTTGTAGACTTTTTTTTTTTTTTTTTTTTTTTTTTTTTTTTTTTTTTAGTGTGTGTTTTTGTTTTTTTTCTTTTAGTTTAGTGAAATTTAAACATTGCCAAAATTCATATATCCTCCCATGGATTAATGTTATTTAAATGTGCCTAACTTTCAACCTTTCATTATGTTAAAGTGACACTTAATATTATTAACCTACAGAACCAATTACATTGAAAAGATTGCCAGAGAAAATAGTGCTGTTGGAAATTTTAGATTTTTTTTTTTCCATCTTTGGTATTTGTGTATTGCTTTATGCAATAAGATACTCACATCAGTAATCTCTAAAGCTTTCTCAGGTGGATGTATTTGATCATCTTTCTCTATTAGATTTCTTCTCTTGAAGAAAACAATTATTTACTAATTGTAATATGATACATAAAGATGTAATCTGAGGAAACCTTCTTAATCTTTTAATTTAGGATTCTACAGCAAGTTGATCAATAAAAAAAGATTACTTATCTCACAAGTATTGAATATTGTTTAACATTTCAGTATGTTCTGTTTGGTATTCATTATTCTTGGATTTGAACAAGTGAATGATGTCATTGATTCTCCATTTTAAACTTTTTAACCCTTGGTTAATACTGTGGGACATTGTGGCTGCATTAGTACCATGTGGGTTTTCAAATATTATAGATATATCATTTATTTCTTAATTTTTTTATACATTGTCTTAATTATATGGCTTATGGCCATATGTTGAAACACTGGTTCTTGTACAATCACTGAAGTTTAAGCAACCTTGAGCTTGATTAGTACCTAGAGAGATGACCTCTTTGGAATACGAGGTACTGAAAGCTTGGATATGCTGGTGGTGTAACAGCTTAGAAATTAGAGAATCAAGTTCCAATTCCAGTTGGGTTTGTTATATTCACTTGTGAATATAACCTTTTCACTTGTGAATATGAACCTTTTAAGAAAAGTATGCATCCACCTCTTCTCTTCCCAGCTATGAATTAATTGGAACTTGTATCTGTAAAAATCATTATGATCTCAAAAAAAATTCCTGCAGTGTAAAAATATTTTCTGGCTTTAAATAATTGACAAAAGATTGATAAGCTGTTAAAAAAAAATTAATAGAGTATTTATTATTTTTATTTTATTTATTTAATAAATAAAATGGAAAAAGGTTTTATTTTGAAAAATTGAATTACAAGGCTGTTGATGAAAGCTGGCCAATTCTGTGATGCAAACATGCAGAGAAACTTTAAGGCAGCAAATCACAGCCAATTGCAATCTTTTCTTAACAGCAGTTGGAAGCTGACTACCTGCCATTTCAAGTGTATCTTTAAATGCATATTGAATTTTTGAATATTCAATAATCGGTCATATTATAAGTGCATTTGTACCTTCAGATTGAAAGTGGCTGTCTGTATGCAAAGCACACAAAACATTATGCTCATTTAATTTTGGATAGTTTGTCACAGGCTAATATTAGCCCTTATGAGATGACAGGGCCAGTTTATTGTCTGAAAAGTTGAATGATGAAGAAGACAACTGGTCCAATGTATTGGCCCAATAATACATGAAGATTAAATGGCTGGTCTTCATACCAGCCAATCAGATTGCTTCTCCATTTCTTGCATACCAGAGCCTTTCAATGGTGGCTTTTATGATAGTTTGCCATTTTCTGTGATTTTTACATCAATTTTTTTGTGTTCCAAGTGAAGGCTTGTGATAGGGTCAGTCTTTTTGGCACTGAAACTCCACATGAGGCAAGTTAACATTAGGCATTCACTGATTGATCAGTCAGTGCTGCTGTTGGCTTGAAATTTATAAAAACCTTTCCCCTAAAACAATTTTTCAGGAAAATGAATTTCTCAAGTCTAGTATTATGTTATAGTTCTTTCAGTATTGACTTTTGTTTTCCTTGCCTTTTGTTTGAAGTGGTGTGGAATGTCAGCATCGTGATAGTCCTTGTTCTCTTTTTGAGGGCAGAACAAAGAAGCTATATTGATGCAAGATTACAAATTAGATCTTTTTAAGTAATTATTCGAAACTATATTCCTGCTTATTGTTATATAATTAAACAAGTTTAAAAGGTTGGTCTTCAATTCTGGGGAAATAGAATATTCACTCTGTTAGTGCTACAGGATATTTTCACACTTCTAAACAAAGGAAACCATTTTTTATTTGCACAAATGCCATGACTAAACCCAGAAACCCCTTGTAGCTACTTAACTGAGGTATTCAGAAAGCTATTTGACTAATCATGAAAATTTGACCTGCCTCTTGGCTTATGGCCATGTCACATTATAAAACACTGGTTCTCATATGATCACTGAAGTTAAGCAAAATTGATCCTGGTCAGTACCTAGATGGGTGACCACATGGTAATACCAGGTGCTGTAATCTTGGATGTATGGTTGATGTAATGGGTAATAGTTTGGAATTGGAAGTTAGTTGAGTTCCATCCTTGAGAAATGTATTAATCCCTCACTTCTCCCCCTAGGTGTTGGTTAATTAATAGGACTTGTATCAATAAATCATTATTATTTCAAAAAAGAACATCCTTACTATCTAAAACTATTTTCTGGCTTTAAATAACCCACAAAAGAAAAACATCAATTGAGCTGTCACTTGCTAAATATTAAAAACATTTTTGTGGGAGAGGGGAACAAACACCTCACAGTATTAATGGAGGGTTAATAAAGATTTCTGCAATATTCTATATAAAAAAATTTGTAACTATTTTTCTGCATTTCTTGAGTGGAAGTATTCATTATTTCTCTTTCTTTAATAGTGTCTAAACTTGTATTTTTCATCAAATATATTGAGTATATATCACATCTGACAATTTTGAGAAGTCACTTCATACTTGGAATGTTTCTGCTGAAATGTTAAAAACAGTCAAAAATGAAAATGTTAATTTTAAATAGACAAAAATTAAAAAAAAAAAAAACTAAGTAGGTACAATAATAATAATTTCTTTGATTTCTTAGATTATTTCTTTTGCAGTAGACATTTTTAACTTTTATCCCAAAACAAAAAAGTTTTAAATAATTTGTGACTTCTGAAGTGTAGAATTGTTAATTATAGAATTATTAATGGATTTGTTATATATTTGAGTACTACTTGGACTGGTTCTCTCATACTTAAAAAAAAAAAAAAAAAAAAAAAAAATGGTTGGGTGGGGGGTGTTGGAGGAAACTAATTTTTACAGATTAGCATTCTTTAACACTTCTCAGAATTAAAAAATATTGATTTTTAGGAAGATCCTGTTCATAATATCGACACAATGTCAGATCGATCCTTGACTTTGAAGAGTTGTTGGCTTTTGCATATGAAAATAGTCTTTTTTTTTTTCTTTTCTTTTTTTTTGTCTAGATGGGGTTACAAAAAATCTCTTAAATCAAGTACAAAGGGATATATAAATATTTGAGTATAGAACAAAAATTTTAAATGAAAAAAATTATTTACCCAATCATTCTTAATTTAAGAAATAATTAAGAACCTCAATTCTTTGTGCATGTGCTTCAGAAAAATTACCTCCATCCGCTGCCTGCCAAAAATAAAAATTCAGATCATTAAAAAAAAAAAAAAAAAACAGGTTAGCACATTTTCAAGCTTGACATTCGTGAACAACGGCTAAGTTACTTTGCCTAAGGTCAGTAACTTTACAAAATTGGTGTTCAATTTGACACTGCATTGATATTATAAACAAGACCCCTTCCTCTTAAATTTACAACGAATTGATATTTTTTATTCTGACAATGGTTGTGGCTTAAGGAATGTCAAAAGCATGCTAATCTAAAATAATTATTTCCTGATAAAATTTTGTCAATTTTTTAAAATTTTTTATGCCTGGACCTGTATATTTAAGTAGTGCCAATATTTGTTACTGATAATGAAGTGAATGGGTATGATGTGTAAAATATCTAAAGAAATGGCCATTTGATGATCCCCCCCTTGTTCTCCCATTTTATTGGTATTTCTTTTTTACCCCCTCCCCCGCCTTGCCTATTATACACTTGCTATTACTTGCAGCTCTTTCATCCCCGGGTGTGGGTGGTGTAATTGATAGTTGTTTGGAATGAGAACTCTGATCAGATTCCTGTTGAGTTCATTACATTCACTTACACACACACACACACACACACACCACTGGGAAAGGCATAAATCAATCTCTTCTTCCCCAGCTATGGGTTAAATAGTAGAAAGTGTGTCTGGGAAAAAAAACACATTCTCTCCCAAAAATTGTTTGTACTATATTGAATTGTAAAAACAAAAATTATTACAATCCAAAATGATTTGGCTTTAAATAACCCACAAAGGGTTAATATGCCATCCCCTCAAAGAAAAGGAAAAGTTTAATTCACTCTTGACACATCTATATTGTCTGGCTGGTAGTGCAGAATCTTTTTTATTTTTTTTTTTTTTTTTGTTATATTATACAATTGAATAATGCTTACTGGCCATATCTATATTTGAGGGTTTTAGATCCTTAAATATCTATTAAAAATCTCATGTTCTAACAAACAGTTGAAGTCTTCTGCAGGTGGGAAGATCTACTTTCTTACTGTGGTTGTCGTCGTCTTTTACGCTGCTAGTTTCTTTGCATGCTTTTCTCCACCCTCATTTTGTTTTTTATCTCCTTTTCTATGTGCTGGTAAGTTTTCTGTTATAAATAACACATTGTTTTTTTTTTTTATTCTTTGCATTGCATGTCTTGGCTTTCAGCTATTTCTTTTTACTTTATTACATATTTGTCCAAATTTGTGTTTTGGGACAGTTAGCATCCTTATTGTTTTCAATGTTGTCTTCATTTTGTCATCAAGCAATATGGTATAAGCCTACCCTAGATATTTACAAGTTTGTATTAATAAACTGTTTTCATAAAGATTTTCTATTATAATCTGTATGCTAACTGCTTATACTCTTTCAGCTTTGCCAACAAGACTTATTAACCAATGACATTAATAAGTGATTTCTTTTCGGGAGGGAGGAGAGAGCCACTTCTGCATAAGATATGCACAGTGGGTTGCAAATTATTAAATAGTTCAAAAATATTTTGAAGAAATTTACTCTCTTTGAACACACACACAGCTTTGATTTTTTTTTTTTTTTTTTTTTTTTTTTTTTTTTAATATAACAAGTTTGATCATAATTTCAATTTTTTTTTTTTTTTTTTTAAAGAGAAATTACTAAAACCAATGTGTATGGAAAGTGCTTTGATTGCTAAAACATCCACAGTAAATTTGCGTTTAGATTCTTACATTTCATTTTCCTTCTCAAATCTATTATCACTGTCTTGCATACTTACTAACAAAAGTGCTTTCACACACACATATATATATATATATATATATCATTAAACAAAAAGAAACTAAGTGTAATTTGTTAGACTGTACAACCAAACACATTAAAAAAAAGAAAGGTTTTAAATTTCAGTGTCCCCTCTCTTTCCTGCACGTGCGTAGATACGTCACTGTAAACATAACTTTAGTCCAATAAGGTCCTTAAGGATAAAATGCATCGCATAAATATTTTTTCACTTTGTCATCAATTTTCCTAACAACTTTCATACAAAAGTTTATGTATATATCATGTATTTTATTAACAACAGCACAACATACATAGCCATTTAGTTAGATGCAGTTAATCTATCTTTTTTTTGTAATCAATAATCAAGAAAGTGCATAAAGAATTTCCTAATTTCATTTGGCATTCTTATTTTGTGAATTTTTTCAGAAATCTAACCAGACAGGGGACACAATGATGTTTGATAAAACTTTTTTTTTTTAAAAAATGGGTTAATGGTCTTTACCCATTTTTTTGTAAATATGCTTCTCTCATTGTTTTGTTTTTAATCTCTTCAAATTCTCTCTTGAACAAAAATAATGTGTTTTTCAACTGGCACATTCCGAGTTTATTTTAAAGCATGTATCTTAAGATATTTGTGATTAAATTTGTCACTCTTCACTATAGTACATTAGTTAAAAAATGTTTTCAGACATGGGCAACACCAAGAAATTTCTTTGTGGTATCTTGTAGAAAGTGTTGTTTTTTTTTTTTTTGTTTTTTTTTGCATGTAGACAAAAATAGGCATGTTTTAAATTATGCAAAATAAAGTATTTCAATTTAGAAAGATATTTTCTTCTATGTACATTTTATTTATATTTATTTTTCTTTGTGACTAAAATAACTCAAAGGATTTTGATGATAGTTTAAGTGACTTAAACATTTTCTTAGGCATACTTCTGAAACCTTAAGTTCTAGAACATTCACTGGTTACTAATCTGTCATGAAGATGTCTTTTCTTAATTGCGGAAAGAAAATGAAGTGGAACTTGACTATCATCAACACTTTAGTTTTCTTAGTCATAAATGCTTTCTCGGATTCCTTTTACTTTTAAATTACTCATTCTTTTTTTAAGTTCAGTTTGAGTGGACAAGACTTCCTTTCCCACTAAACTTTTAGCACACTTGTAAAAAGTGTTATCCCCCACCAAAAAAAAAAAACAAACTCTTTCTCCAGATATAAATACAAATTTCTTTGAAATTGATACAGGGGTGCTATAGAGTGACACTTTAGTACCCTTGGAGGTACCAAAATCAAACCAGTTTGGAAATTTAAATATCTCGGAAGTATTTTAACAAAGGACGGAAAGAGTCACACTGAAATCCAAAGGCATATTTTGATAGCCAAGGAAGCATTCTAAAAGCTGATCAGAGTATTAAGAAATAGGAAAATTTCACTAGAAACAAAGAAAAGAGTACTAACTGCTATGTGATATATCCTCCTGCATGGCAGTGAGTGCTGGATGATGATCTCAGAGATGAAGTGGAGGCTTGAAATGTTGTTCTACAGAAGGATGCTGAGGATATTGTGAATCGAACATGTGAGCAATGAAAAAGTTTTGGAGAAAATAGAAACAAAAAAGCTAATATTTAACATCAGTAAGTGACAGTTAAAATTTCTGGGGCATGTAATATGGAAGACTCGAAAGACAGAGGAAAACACATAACATACTTAGTGAGCTTGAGTAAATGAGTGGGTGGAACAGGGCTGAGGAGGAATTAGTCTGAGGTGGGGACTTGTTATTTGAAGATTTCACACTTAGATTCTTTGATGCTGCTACTACCTTACAAATTTGAAACTTTCAACCTACCCCAGGCTCTGTTGCCATGAGGGCATCCCATAACCACAGAAAATAATCCTGCCTCACAAACTGCAATAATGATATAACTTTTAATGTGCAAAGTCTTATTTTAAAGGCTTAAGGAGTTCTTTTAGTGCTGTGGGTTAAAGTATATTCAAAAGCCAACATTAGTGGCTTCAACCCATTAGCTAATGATTTCATCATTAAAATGGCCTTATTTTAATAATAAACACTTTTAAAAAAATCTCAGA